CCCTTGGAATACGCGGCTTTGTAGTGTTCAGCTCTATTGTGTACCGATGACTGTACTTCCACTTTTATGATCGCCACAGCAATAGCTCTTAAATTTGGCCCAAATTATGTCTCTGAAAGGAAGATGTTACAAAGGTCGAAGCAGTGTGATCGACTCTTACACTGATAACAATTCGGCTAATGTGCCAACTGCTCAAGAGCCATTGCAATGGAACGTTGCGTATGTAGTGCTGGTTTTGTTCTTAAAAACATCATCAAGTCATACATCACCGGACGTAACCCCTCAAAGCCGTGGCTCAGCAAATCTTGATGAGCAACTCTTTCATCCCATCGGGATATGGAATTGGCGATGACACTGGGAACATTATGCGAACTAGGCTTAGGGTTTTACTTATTACTTACTCTTTATAGCCTATTTTTTGACGCTTCACTAAGGGTGATGAAATTACCGGAATATGGGTCCATAGGTGTTTTTCTTATTTTTTGAGTGCTATGCAAAACATGGACGGCACGTAGTGGTATATCTCGCAGGAAATAGCCCACTAATTGGTAAGAAAGAGCTTGCTAGAAACTGTTATGAATTACTGTGATCATATTTCTTAATTAGAAACTATTAAGTAGAAAATTCAAAGCTCCGGAAAAGTGCGATATAAGCATGTGAATGAAATCTTTTGCTTATGAAATTTTGGTACTTTTCAGCATTCTCTCATTTCGAGTGGAAAAGGTCCTTTGCGTCATCGCACCATTGGACCCGGAGAACGGGCGGAGGGAATATTTGAGGAGGCCTATTGTGCGACAAATGGCCAGAAGCACAGAGGAAAATCTTTCCCCGGAAGTTTTTTGGTTTACGGTAGCATTTGCCTTCAAACGAATTGGGTAGTAGAAAGTTATGCTAAAGCATGAAATGCAAAAATTTTAGCAAAATGCCGATTCGCCAGCAATGATTGCAGATCTCGACATTTTTTAGGTAGTGGTCTTTCATTGGATTACAATTAGAAAAAAAATTGTAGGATATACTGAGAGACAAAAAAGATTATTATCAACTAACGGATCTTTCGATCCTTTCCATAAAATCAACTGGAAGCAATCCGCTGCAGTGATACTAATTCGAAACTGATCTGCTAGAGTTAGATGCAAACTTCTCGCTTTTATGCCTCCGCCTGCTTCTACAACTGTTTTGAACCGTCGTGAGACATAGGCTCCCAGCAAGATAAACCGCGTTCTCCAGACACTTCGACTTAAAAAGACCTACCACTTGTTGTTGGATTTGGTGGATCATCTGGTTGCTCCGCATTAGCCTGAAAATGTTCCTCTTGTTCGAACAGTAACATTTACATGGCGCATTAAGCTCAAGAGTAGAATTGGCTTGAAAAACAAAACCGCACATGCTCTGTAAAGTCAGTTAGCGGTGTTTAGTTCTGGAAAGTAATCTCAAGAACATTATGCACATTTTATATGTAACAAGCGCTCGCGTCTGTCTGTTTGTCTGTTTGGTTGTTTGTACGAAAATTCGATATTTCCTGATGAAGCACCTGCAGAAGTTGGGTCAAGTTTGGGATGGGTTGAGCATAGGACAAGATCAACAGAGCATATGGGAGCTCAGCGAAGCTCCGCCCACAGTGGGCGGTGTCTTGGCAAAATGTTTGAATTAGGATTCATAACAGCGCAGGCTCTGCGAAAAAAAGGGCGAAGGTGAGAGTTGGGCCAACAAGTGAATTGAAGACTCACCGGCGATGAATGGAGCGTTCTCGTAGGGGTCGTACTTACCACATAAGATAACTTGATACAGCGGAAGCGTGGAGATCAGAAAAAATAGATGAAATGAGCAAGGCCTCATGCGTCCCGGGCATACGTAGAAATGTCGAAGTTCCTCCCGTAGTGGAAGGAGGTGCATTCAAATGTTAGGTCCTTTTTGAAAAAATTCACAACTTTGTTCAAAAATGTTCTAAAACGCGGGAAAAGAGTGGTTAGGGGTAGTGGAAGGAATGTGGCCAAATCATTGGAATTGGCAGTGTTTGCACTAGGATGGGCGCGGCTAAGATCGAAAATCCGTAACTCTGTTCGAAAACATTTTGGAATGCGAAGAAAATAGCTAAAATGGTTAGGGATCGCTCAAAGAGGGATGGTCAAGCTTTTACAGTAGGAAGATCGAGATGAGATGCAAAATCAACTAGCGGTAAATCTCCTCTTGCGAACAACAACGCAGCGGAAGCTCGGCGACCCACTTATGATCCATTTTGCGAAAGACTCGCCAAGTTTTTACCGTCAGGAACCGCCGCAAGTGCCGCCGCCACAGACGACTGTCAGTAGTGGTTGAGGCGCAAAGCTGCTTACGAGTTGATGCGCGTTAAGTATAAACTCGCGAGCAGCTTTGCGTCCAATCTGACCACCACTATGCCTTTTATTTCCGCCAGAGTTAGTTTCACAATACAAGAGAACACTTTTGGAGCTGACTTGCAAGGTCTCGTCCAACCGGTGTTCATTCCCAACAACAACACTGAGCAACGGTTAGTTTGAAACCAGCTCTACGATAAACAGTGCTTGACGAACTACTGTGTTATAAGTTCTTACAGTAGAAAGTTTAATTGGGCATTGATGAGCGCGCTCTACTAGCTGGAATGCCGGACATGCCGGATCAACTTGTATCGGTGAGACAGGTGCAACTAGCTATACGGATACAAAGACGTCTAGCAAGTATGAAGCGCGGCAACTTAATGCCAGCGTTTGGTAGGCGTAAAATTGAGGAGCACGACGGCGACAGCTCCGAGATGAACTTCGCGATATTAACGCATGAGGCGAAGACTTCAGCATGAAAGGCATTAAAGGCGTTCTGAATAGTCAAAAGGAATCCCAGAACAAATAGAGAGATGAGCGTTTTTTTACAACAATTAAGCTCCTGCCCTTCTTACCGCACTGCAAGCCATGATTCAGTAACATCATAACATTATCTCCCTTTTCAAAAGAATAAGGGAGACATCAAGAAGTCTCACCCGGTACTGACTCTCTGACATCTTAAACTCCTGCTGATATGCTAATATGACTTCCATTCCAGGAATGATGAACTGTTGTCCGATTATCAAAGCAGAGATCACGTCACCTTCCATCTTAGCGACGGACCTCTGCTAATGAATACCAAAACTGCACGGTGAAAACAGCTAGTAAATTTTCAAGCGGAGTTTTCCGATAGTGGAGGTCACCGATCAGCAAAAAGCAGAAAGAAATATTCGAAATTAGTTACTTCACGGAGTGGAGGTGGTATAGTGGCAAGTAGGGCACAACCTCATACGCATGGTCACGGGTTCGAATCCCGTATCGATCTCCGCCCTAAATTGGCCAAGTCTCCCATACCTCCAGCGTCGGTCAGTTGCTACCAGACTTGTCTGTGAGGATAGAAGCAGTGACTTGTACGTCGTCTGGGCACCTCAACTTCTTATATGGGCCACACACGCATCAATACGCCACTACGATTCTGAATCGTAGTCGAATGTGGGGGCGCATCCCTCAGACGGGATTGATTGATGCCAAAAGACTTTACTTTATGGTACTTCAAGCTCTAGTCTACGCAACTATTATCAACAGGATCATCCAAAAACTCTTGTGCCTGACTCATGTGGAGTTCGAAAGGACAACAAATAAAAGTTCGGATATTCATCCTCGATAAATCCCCGTTTTGGATGCGCCATCGCATTTGATTTTCAATCAGAATCGTAATGACATTTGAATGCATATTTACCCTATACGACGACTTGCGGTGGCCAGCCAAAGTACAAATAGGTGCTTTTATCCTCCCAGACGAGGCTGGTTCCAGTTAACTGACCCCGGAGGGATAGAGTGCTTTATTGGTCTGATCGAATATCGATCCATGTTTCTATTCGAGGACCATGCATAGGAGATAATGCTCCGTTTCCCCCTATACTACCACCCCCACCAACAAAGAACACATAATAAGCATAAAATTGAACTGAAGTAATCACGTGTATTTCTCTCGAGAAAATTTTCCTCACCTGTACCACAGCGTAGGCCAGAAGAACAACGAGGACTGTCCTCATCTTCTGAAAAAAGATGATCTCTTCAGTGCTCAAAGTGAGAGAGAATGGGCTAGTACAACAGTAGCAGCGAGTAATCGCTTTGCTAAAGAAGTTCCTCTAATCGGAGAAAGACTTTTTTTCTCGACAGAAAAGCCGATTTGTGTCTATCGAATGACACTCTGCATTTCCTCCCACGTCAGATTGCATGCACTGATAAGAAGGAATGAGATGAGAAGTTTTTAAGAGCTGTTGATTCTAGGTAAATGGCTGATGGCTGATGAATAATAAAAGAAATGTAGTGTTCCGCCGCACTTCGCAGCTTTTTTTAGGCAAAAGAATGAGACGAATGCAACTGTGAAACATTGTTAAGTCACCATATGTAGCAGCTTGATTTCTGCTGGAAGTTTCTAACGAATATTGCACAACACTGAAAAGATCTGCATGATTTGAGGAAAGGGTTATTTCACAGAATCTGACTCCCAAGATTGAGACAAAGGCAAACATCACCTCAAAGAAAACAAAGCTGTTTAATTAGGGTGGTCACAACAAATTTACACAAAATTACGCAAGATTCCAGGTTTTCCTGGAGTGTTCTAGAAATTCCTCAAAGAACTACTACAAAAAACGCTATTTATTTGCATGCGCATGAAATACTAGAAGATTTCCTGATATTGCAGTGGGATAATCAGGCTCGTGCTTCTCGCCTGCGCTTGTAAGCAGCTTTATTCTGCCTAAAAACTCAGTGGGCTTCATCGTTCCAGAACCACGCTTCATTATTTGATAAATTCACTTCGAACCCTTATCACTGTTTGTCTTGTAACTTCGGAATGGCTTCCGCAGCGTTGCTTCAGAATTGCCAGGTCGGTTCTTCGGAAACTGCGAGACCAGCTTCTAGAATCTTCCGGTTGATGTCTTACGGTAAGCACCTTAGCTACTCCCTCCCTATACACGACTACTTTTGAACCTCGATGGCTGTCCCTGCTAGGGTAGGCTCGCGCTGCGGAGCCAAATCCTCACTAGGCAGTACTTTTAAATCTTTCGTAGTTTTGAAAGGCACGGTTCACGATAAAAAAGGTTACTGAGTTCTTCCTTTAATACTACTCAATACTCAGCGCCCCCCCCCCATGGGTGGTAGAAGGGTCGGCGCTTAGGGCATAGTGGAAAGCCCCGTTGCTGCCGTAATTCGCTTTCCCGCCCCTCGATCGGTGTCACGTTAGACGGGTAACGGAACTTCTCCCCTATCGCGGCATTCTCCCTTGCGGCATGCGGCAAATGTCACCGCAACTACCGTACTCACCCCGCCTGCCCGCATTCGATAGGACGCGACATTTTTCGTTGGTTGCCTTGCTTTTTTATTGGATTTGATCGTTTTTTCTTCGTTTCTTTTTCGATTTCATGTTTATTAAACTTGATTAATTAAAATGACCCCTCCTATGTAAGCGGCGATCAAGACTGCATTGAAATTAAAGAAAGCGGTCAGCCAATTCAAATAATTAAAGGACTCCCTTTCTCACAAATTGCGCGCTCCAATCTTCCATCGCAATCCTGCGATACGCGGCGGGTGCGGCGTGTGCGACGCCGTGTCAAGGGAGAAGTTCCCGGACCCCACGTTAGACGACTGTCGAAACAATACAGATTGCTATTATTCATTCTAGGACCTACGCACAATCAGCTGATCGCCGAGTGATGAGGCGATGTTTTCTCCCATTCTTTTTTCCTCTGTTTTTCTTTTTGCTGCCGCAATCCCTTATTTAATTTCCTACTCCTAGAGACTGAAAAAGGTGAGCTACTTTTGCTGTTGCTAGGGTTTTTTTTTTGTTTATTTATGCTTATCAGTGAATGAATTTTTGCTTACCATTGTCTGTTATTCGCACCAGGACCCACACGCGCGCAGTGAAACACACTGTTTAGCTCGTCCTTCATTTTTCTGGTTTCATTCTCATCTAGCCCCATTTCTAATGGTTTTTCGAAGCCTTTTTCACTTTGGAAACACCGATGCACGCAGTTCCTTCACCTCAGCCGCACTAGTTTCGATATTGTCTTCCATTTTTCATCGTAATCTGAATTACCCAAAATTATTGTGAACTGTGCCTTTAAAAGACGATCTTCTCATGAGTACATGATCTGATTCTGCTTGTTTTCCTCCATAGCGTGCAGTAGATCGCCGCTTCGGAGATTCCTCTCTTTTTTCGTTTCAACTCCTATTCTTAACCCACATCCCCCTCCCTCGCCGACCATTTCTTGACACCTCCGATCATTGTCGACGTGATTATTCAGATCACCTGCTATGGGTGGTCTGGTGGCTCCCTCAAAATTCAGGTAAAACTTTGGCACTCGAAAAGACCAGCTTGCGATGCCTATGCGGATGTAAGTGTCAGTACCCTTACTCGTATGTATCCTCGCAGCCATAATTCGTCCGCTGCTCTTGTTGACAGTGAGGCGAGAGTCTTTGAGGGACATCGCCACTGCTATAGCCACACGTCTTTGCCGTGTTCCCCCTTTATGTAGATTTTGACACCTTCCTCAGTTTCTGTGACTTTTGCCTACTTCCAGTGTATCTCTGAAGAAATACAATGTAGATTTCCCTGTGTTCCCTAAGACTATAAATCTCTCATTACTACTCAGCAAGATAACCCATGTTCGTGGCCCTTATTCGAACTAACTCTTTCGAGAGCTAACAAAATCGTTCACTCCTCGATAGCTCTGCATGCTGTCAACAGAACCCTGGCAACGACCTGTCCTTTTCACTTAATGCTTTTGAGATTATACAAAAAACAGTTAAGGTGCGCACCGTGAGCATCTCAATGCTCACGATAGGAGACTTCCTTAAAAATTAAAGTGGAATCACCTAGCAGCTCTGTAACACCCTTTCCTAGGGAACGGGATCCATCGATAATGATTGTAGACTTTTCTTTCAAATGAATGTGCTTAATCGCTGGCCCGAAACCGTTTTCACGCTAGGCCACTAGGAATTGATAAAAGTATAGGCCATCCAATGAAGCATCGAAAGCGAGGAAATGTGACAAAATGTACTGTAGCTCCGCGTAATGCCGTTTAATAACAGAAATGAATCTTAGAACAGTGGAAGGGTTTCAAGCTCAGCATATCCACCGTTTACTTGCAAATCCGTCATTCGAGAAGATCATTTGAGAGTATGGGCAAAAAACTTTTGCTCGATTGGGTATAACTAAGTGGAATATCAGTGAAATAGAAAACTTCATGCCGGTAGCAAGAAGATACATAACATCTCATTCGAAGAAATTCTACAAATTCTACAATTTCTAGTTCTACAAAAATCATGCTGACGGCATGAGCATCAGGATTCTAGGTAAAGCTTCATTCTGGAAGATATCCTTGTTATTCATTAATATAGCAAGTGAACTTGTTGTGGTGGCGCAGACGATGAGGGCGGCAAGAGGGACCTGAAATGAGAACCTACAGTAAGCACAGATATATAAACCAATGAGCTCTTTACAAATTATGAGGATCAGTATTCGTGGCGGGTAGGTTAGAAGTGACAGAGTGACAGAGAACCTGAAATGAGTGCTTACAGCTCATCGTATTCCGCTAACTTCAGAACATTGTATAGTTTTGTATGCATGCGTAAAAGCCTCAATTACATGGAGAGGTGTGAAAATAAAAAAGGGATCGAGGCGGTGTCACAATTTATCTTTGATGGATTCTCTGCATCGGCATCTTGGCCTGTTAGTAACTGCTGGAGTTGTCTGGAGAGTTAGTGAAGGTTAGCTCTCATGATTGCAGCAGTCAGTAAGTGTTGCTCTATCCGCTTTCGACTTGCATCTAAAACATTTTGCTCCACAAATCCTCCACCAACGTTTATAGTGCTCTTCTAGGTCGATATTCGGAAGAGCTGTCCTTTCTAGCTGTCACAATCCTAATTCTCGACCTCGACTGCTAGGTCTTTCCGGTCTTTCTTTCCAGTATGTAGCCTCTGCTCAACTTGACTTGTTGATACCCTCAATCTTCGTAATCTCTGATTCTCTGCGTCTGCAACATATCACTCTTCACATCGTTCACCGTCAATTCACCTCTGCCAAGATCGTGATTCGCTTTTTCACAATGAAGGTAGATTGAAGGTCTCTTCGTTAAAGAAGTGAATTATATGGTTTGGTGGAAATTAAGATTATTCTAACCAACGACAAAATATCCTGATTGCGAACAACAAACACCAAGACTGCTGACCTGAACCCTGCCCCAAAGAGCAGGGTGAGCCGGCTTCTGGCAGAACCAACTCTATCTAGGCGTTCTTGTAGTTGCTCCTCTCCTTCCTCATCGCTCTAGCCAGTTCTGCATTTTTTACTGGAAACCCCTCCACTGTTCTTCTCCTTTGTCGTCTCTTCGAGATCCATGGATGAGATCTTCTGTTTTCTTAGCTTCCCTGCCTTTGTCAACTTCCACTAACGTCTTCAGAATGACTTCTTCTAATCCCGCCCATGGATTTCTGCAAAAGGGGTTAAATTAGGTCCCAAAGCTGAAATACGATCATAGATATAACACAGTAATAATGGTGAGGCGTCATGACGACACTAATTATTCATCGGTTGACACTCCTTTCCCATTCGCTTTCTTCAAGAAATTCGGATTCAACCCCTCCTAATGTTTCGCTCGTTTTTTGTCTTTATTTCATCAGTAATTAGTATTTTTGCTTTGACGATGTTAGAACAGTCAGAGTGTCTTCTTTTTCTTCCCAACTACTACCTACAACCGAGAAGGCGGTGTTGCAGTGTATCATTCGTTAAAAACCCTGAATAAATGCAAAATTAGAGGATAACCTCTCCGAAATTTGAACCTCAGCATTCAATGAGAAAACAAAAGAACTCTTGAAATTCTTAAAAGACAGCATTTAGAATCAGAGAAGAAAATCTTTCTAAATCATGAATCACAGCATAAGAAACAAAAGAGACCAAAGTTGGAACAGAAATCTAGTTAGAGAAAAAAGGTTCAGCTGCAAGATTACGTCAAACGCAATTATAATACATTGAAGTAAATCCACGTACCTA